AATTAAATATTTTGTTGAAACTAAAGATAAATTTGTTGCTAAAAATAAGCCTAAAGGAGGAGGTATTTGGCTTGCTAAACTTACTGTTAAAAGTTGACCTTTTTCTTACCTCTTTGACAGTCGACATTAATAAGACCTCGAGTGATGTCCTTTAGTAGAAGACTCACCTAGAAAATTCTTGAATGAATCTTGTGCGTCAACAGCATCGTGTAAGGTGACTCGACTTTATGTTGTCGATGGATACCAACTTGTGGAGTCACTTTCAACTACTATTCTTTAGATCGTGCACTATGTTCCGAGAACCTTGACCACCATCAAGATTAGGCTATGCTGATTTACAAGCCGGTAGTTGACATCACATCTTAGGTAGAGTAGGATGACGTGAAATAAACACTACTTTGAATTACTACGGAATCCTTACATTCTCTTTGTGATCATAGGGAAATGGTGCACACAGGGACGGAGGAAAGGGGAAAGCCCAGACTTGCTCCAAGTCCATTAGTTTTCTGGACAATGCTACGTTTACATAATCGTTTACACTACATTCCCTTCACATGGAGGGGGTTCAAACACAATAAAATATTTGTGGGCCCCCTCCATATTGGGGGGAGGGGGTGTAAGGTCGTGGGTATACACATAGCATTATTCTAGTTTTTTAGGAAAAAATAATAAAATATTTTTTCTACATAAAAAAGTATTTATTTTTACAAACCAATCTAGTATAATATATTTTGTGCTGCCTGACTCCATCCCTAGGCGCACAAGTATCAATATTGGAAAAAACATAAAACGAGACACATTGTGATGAGGTAACACTATAAATGATGACCATATCTCCCTTTATAGAAGTATTTTCAATAAAAATAAAAATCAAACAGAGGGACAATCATCAAAATCATCACCCTTCAGCCACCCACGCACCCGCCTCAATATAAATAGCCGCGATGCATGTTCATGCACTCATTCCTCATCTGATAAAACACTCAAGAAAAGCCCTCCTCGCCCAGGCCATTGACGGCAGCTCACAGTTTCAGGTACCCTTTTTTCTTTCCATTTATACCATATAGTTCAATTTTTGAATTAACGCAGTTTGAAATTAATTGTCCTTTTATTTGTTTTTGGAAATTCCGCTTTGATTTAATTGTCATTTAATACTTGAATTAACACCAAATGCCGTCAGGGAAGAACTCAATTCGAAAAAAATAATAAAAAATCTGAGCCCATCAAAATGATCCTGAATTCAGGTACTTTATCAGTAAATTCAAATAAAAAAAACACTTGATTTTTTCAGTTGCATGTACATGCACTGCATCATTCATTTTCACATGAAATAAATTTTTTATTTAATTTTCGTTATTTTTTACTCAGAATCACTAGTTTCGATCAATTCATCTATTGTACATAATTTTTTTGTTTTTTGTTTCTTTCACCTTTTCTTTCATCTCGGAAAACCCTAGCAGTTGTAAGATTTGGTTTTTTCTTCAATTTTACTTATCATTCTCAATTTTTGGATCTGTTTCTAAAATTCTGAAATCTAATCAGTAAAATGTGAATCTATTTTATTTTATTTTTGTATTTTGTCAAATCTAGGATTAACTTGGGTTTCCAATGACAAGAAATGAAAAAGAAAAAGGGAAAAAAGAAAAAGAAAAAGTAAAAGATTTTTTTAATCTCAGGAAAACCCTAGTTTATGCAATTTTTTTCTATACAGGTTGTAAGCTTTGGCTTTTGTCTTCAATTTTAATTCTTATTCTCGATTTTAGAACTGTTTATAAAATTTTGACATTTGAAATTAGTAAAAGGTTAATGATTTTTCTGTTTTATTATTGTTATTATCATCATCATCATTATTTTTGTATTTGTCAAATCTAGGCTTGGATTGGGTTTCCAGATCTTTTGCAGAAAGTAAAAATCCCTTTTTTTTTTTTTTAATTATTATCTCCGAGAACCCTAGTTTGTAATTTTTTCTTTTCCTTTCCGGTTATATTTGGTTTTTGTATTCAATTTTACTTATTCTCAATTTTGGAATTGTTTCTGAGATGCTGAAATTTAAAATCAGTAAAATGTGAAAGAATTTTTGTTTGTTTATTTTTATTTCTTTGAATTTTTCAAATGTAGGCTTAGTTTGGGTTTTCAGAAAATCACTTTTGTGGGCTACAAAATAATCCTAAAACCTAAAGCATCTACTTGAGCTATCAGGTTTTCTTGACAAAGTATGGTTTTAACATCTAATATCGTTTATATTTAGTCAACACACAGTTTTTTTTTTTGCTACTCGATTTTAGTAAGATAAATTGTGGGTCCAAAGTTCCGATTGCTAATCAACTAATACGTTTTGTACTTTCAAGACTTCTAAATATTTCTTATCTCATTCCATGTCTTGTCTATAACTTAATAGATATCTATCGCAATTAGCTAATTTTGTTATTTCTCATCTCATTGCATGTCTGGGCTGTAACTTAATAGCTATCTATCGCAATTAGCTATTTTTGTTATATCTCATCTCATTCCATGTCTGGGCTGTAACTTAATAGCTATCTATCGCAATTAGCTAATTTTGTTATTTCTCATCTCATGCCATGTCTTGGCTGTAACTTAATTGATATCTATCGCAATTAGCTAATTTTGTTATTTCTCATCTCATTCCATGTCTTGGCTGTAACTTAATAGATATCTATTGCAATTAGCTAATTTTGTTTTGGGCTAACTTTATTTTGTGTTATGTAATTCTAATACGAGTTGTCCTTGCTAAAACTGCAGGGTGGGAAATGGATACCGGTGGCAATTCCTTACCATCTGGAGCAGATGGAAAGAAGAGAAAAGTGTCCTACTACTACGATCCAGAGGTTGGAAATTACTACTATGGGCAATTTCATCCAATGAAGCCCCACAGGATGAGGATTACTCATGCTCTCCTCGCACATTATGGATTACTCCAAAATATGACTGTTTTGAGGCCAAATCCTGCTCGAGAAAGAGATATTTGCAGGTTTCATGCTGATGATTATGTCAAGTTTTTGAAAATGGTCACCCCAGAGACACAGCAGAATTACATGATGCAATTGAGGAGATTTAATGTTGGTGATGACTGCCCTGTATTTCATGGTCTTTACTCCTTCTGTCAAACTTATGCTGGAGGCTCTATTGGTGGAGCGGTTAAATTCAACCATACACAGTGCGACATCGCAATAAATTGGGCTGGTGGATTGCACCACGCGAAGAAATGTGAGGCTTCCGGTTTCTGCTATGTGAATG